TCCTTCTTCCTCCAGATTGACAAATCCGACCAGCGCATCTCACGGCATTGAGTCAGACGTGTGGTTTTCGATCATAACATACCAGTCTTAAATTAATGAAAATTGTTTTAAATGGTTATTGAGTCAGATATGTGGCGGGGAATGTTTGGTTTATTGAAAAGTTTCACCTGTCTCTGTCCAAGTGGGTTTAGCTGACATTTAAGATTCCAATATCTCTGCAGTGTGTGAACAACTAATCTAATATCTGCGATGATGGTACTGCTGCTGAAACTATTCAGAAATTAAATTGGCACTCAGAACAGTATTGAGAAGTTCAGCATCCATTCTTTTCCTGCTTTGTGTGTCACCTGTCACGGTTGCTATGTGACAGATCTTAGACTGAGTGAGGGGTGATGACAGCCAGAGAAGACCCAACCTGTTTGAATGAATCAATGAACTCTTGTGGGCTCCTAATTTTCAAGGCTTTTGTAGAACCCAATCCAAGTAGACAGGGTCCTTGGAGGATGCAGGGGCTGGATTAGAAAACAGCCCTTCTTTCAATAGGATGCAGTCGTACTGTCCCCTCTGCAAAAGAGCGTCTCCAAAGACTGTTTCCATCTCCATACTTCAGTTGAGATGGTGTTCTTCAGGTTGTACTCATCTTTTTATTTTTCTTCCTTCATAGCATGTTTAACATACCAGTAGCAGTTGAGATCCTAAAAACTGAAATATTTCATCTACAGCCCCACATCCCATAAGGGTTAACAAGGAGGTGCTCTGAGTGCAGAGTAGGAACAAAGAGGAGGAATAGGAGATGGAAGATCAAACTGTTTTTCCTATTGATTATGATAAGCAACATAAGACCAGAAAAAAGTTGGATAAAGTCCAAACTCTAGCAAGGATTCAGCCATAATATCATAAATGCTGTTTTAGGAGATTTTACTGGTAGATTGCTGTAGTTTTATATAACTGATTCCAATTTTTTTTATGTTTGCACACTTGTACAAATTAAACACACTTTACTGGAGCATCAAAGATGTTTACAAGCATTAAAAATGAAGTGGCAGCTTTTTTGCTGCTTTCAGCGCTTGCGGTCTTAATGTACCACAAGGCACTGGATGAATGAGCTTGTACCTTACTGCACACCCTAAAACAGTGGTGCTCGAGTCCAGTCCTCCAGAGCTACCATCCTGTAACCTTTAGATGCATCTCTTCTCTAACACACCTGAATCTAAGAGCTCAGTCCCCCTTATTTAGTTAAGCAGAGGTTTGGTAATGAGCCACTCATTTTGTTCAGGTGTGTTTAAAGATGGGCAGGGTGTCAAATATGGCAGGGTAGTAGCTCTTGAGGACTGGACTTGAGCATCCCTGCCCTTAAAGATACAATATAATGTGAGAGGAAAGCTATGGAGGACCAACTCTGCCATATTTAAAAATAAATACAGAAATAAATGAAAGACAGAACTTTTAACGTAATACTCTGAGCTCTGTGAGTTAAGAGGATGGGCTGCCAACCAATGGGCAGAAAACACACCCCTCCTCATTTGCATAATGAGGCAGAAATGCAGACAGAAATATAAAAACGACAGGCAGAAATACATAGCATTGAAGAAATAAATAGGGTAAAAAAAAAAATACAAAAGAAGAATGAAACAGACATGCACATAAATAAATACTTAAAAAAAATAAGTAATAAATAAATAAAGTTGAAGATTATAATGGACAATAAATAGATAAGGTACAAAGGGGAATAAATAAAGACGCTAATTAAAAGAGATGTTTACATTTATGTCTCACTGCATAATTTAATTTCTACCTACATTTATGTGCAATTAATTGTATGCTTATTTATTTATTGAGCATGTATTTATTTCTGTATTTATTTTTAAATTCGTCCAGAATTGGTCCTCCATAGGAAGCAATCTTTGAAAAAAATGCAATTGCGGGGCCCCTTCACAGGTATTCTGCCCTCCCTGAGCTTGTCTATCTATGGTGGAGGGAGCCTTTCTGGACCAGCTTCAAATTAGCCCTTTGCAGGTTCTTCTTCCACATTGATTTACTTGCTATGCGTTGTGTGTTGTATTATTATGAATGTGCTCAGATGGATGTGTTGTATGGTTCTTGACATCCTTTCATTGCTTTACACAAGAGAGGAGGGTTGAATGAGAAAAGTTTGTGTAATGTTTTGTTTTTCCTTTTTTTCTTTTGATGTTCAAAAAAATAAAAAATCATCTTCTTTTTGTGGTGTGTCTGTAAGACTATATATAAGTAAGTTTGTTTTTTTAAAATACAACTTCCACTATAACTGTAAATACTTGCTATACACCATAAATATGTTATAAACGCTTCTGTTAATAAAACAAATCTTAAAAAAAAAAAGAAGTTGATTGTTTCCATGTATAAACAGCAAGTAGGTCATTTATTATTCTTTGTTTTAAAATGTCTCAGACATATGGAAGAAGATTAGGGCCACTGGAATAAAAAAAAAAAAAAAGTTAACTGATTTTAAAAAAAAATTTCAGTTTAGTATGGGAAAAAAGTCAGAATTCTGAGAAAAAAGTCAGAATTCTGAGGAATATACTAAACTGAAATAAAATGTAAAAATCAGTTAACTTTTTTTTTTTTTAACAGTAGCCCTAATCCTCTTCCGTACAGACATACAGCAGGAAAAGGACTTGGTTTTTACAAATGTGGTTGGTGCGTAAGTCAGAAAGTTGGTTGAGCATTAGGTTGATAAAAGAAGTCTTTGGGATTTTATCACCGGGCATCACCTTATTTAAGAGACCGCAGCAGAAGGCAAAACATACTGTGTGTAAATGTTCTTAATGGGTTTATTCATTACAAATTGATTAAAAACAAGAGTCTCTGTGGTGTACTGGATACTTACTTGGTTTACACTGTGGTTAAAATACCATGGTGGTATACAAGCATGTACCAGTTTTTAATCCTAATGTGCTCCCCTCATATCCACCTTTAGGTCACAGCCGAACAGTAGTTGGTTTGGAGCAGAGGAAGAATGGAAATCTGTGCCTCCTGCTTTTGGATCCTGCCTCTTCAGCCTCTGACACCAGAAAGCTGCTGAATAGAGACACATGTTGCACGGCCATTCAGTTCATCAGAAAGTTTCCCAGAAGCCTAAAGCACAAACAGTACCAGCTTGTAGCAGTGGAAGGTGTGCTGTCATCTGAGGAGAAAGAGGTGAGATTTTTTCAAATCTGCTTTAATAGCAGATTTAATATCAGCAGATAAACCCAAAACCAGTGTCTCAAAAGAAGAAATATCCATTTTTAGTTTGACAGACTTGTTGATAGTTCCTGTGGTGGATTGGTATGAGTAATCAGGAAGTTGACATGCTTTGAATATGTTCTCTGAAATCTTTTTTTTTTTTTTTTTTTTCACAGATGAGAATCCTCAGCTCCAGGAACTTATGTGCGGAAAGGATCCCCTGAACACAAATTGGTCTTTCCTGTTTTGAATGCTCCTGTTGCTGGATGCATTTTTGTACAATAATGATGTGCTGTGAAAGTTATTTCCAATTTTAAATTTACCATTAAATAAACAATTTTATTTTTTGTTAATTTTGCTTCAAAATTTTTTAATGCAATATGTGACGTTTGGATTTAATCAACCACCATTGAGCCTGTTTCCCCTGTTTCAGACAGCAGCAGTCGGCCCCAAAGTGATTTATTTGTTAAGTGGAATAAATCAAATGGATTCCCTCTGCACTGCTGTTCTGTGATACAGAGGAGATAAAGGGATCAAATTCATTTAAATGTATTACTGCATCATCTAGAAATGATATTTGGGGAAGATCTGTTAAATTAAGTTTGAAGGTTATTTAAAAAGTGATCAGATAGAACAGGGGTTTAAGAAAATACTGTTATTTCTTCACATTCACTGCCATATGTCGGCACGATGTCCAAAGTATTAAGATAAGGATGTGTGGGACTATGCACATCTTGAACAAAGCCAATTCTGTCTAATATAGCATTAAAGGCTTAATTTAAGCTATCATCTTTTAATTCAGTTTCAAATCAGTTTATTTCCATAGCACCAAATTACAACGCATGTCATCTAAAGGCATTTAATAGAGACAATTCAACCAGATCACACAGTCTTATTGATTCAAAGTTTTCCATCTAAGAAAAACCAGCTGATTGCATGGACTCATTGACTCAAAGGCAATCCCTCACACCAAGCATGCATGTAGCGACAAAGCAGAGGAACAGGCAGAAACCTCCAGTAGAACCAGGCTCAGTGTGAGCAGCCAGTCTCCTTTAACCCCAGTTCAAGGAGACTGAGGCAGACATACAAAAAGAAGCAGAGATGCAAAAGGCAACTGTTAACCAGCTCTGCAGGCGACCACTTCCAGAAAACACACACAACCAGGCAGACGAGCTCCGAGCCAGCCCCCATGTCAGAGGATGAAGAGAGCACATCCAGTTAGTCACAGTCAGGGAAATGGGACTACGATGAAAAACAGGCCAAATGCCGACATCTATAAAGAAAGGTGTTGATGGCAGCAGCACAACTGATATTTCTCTCCAGGATGATGTCATAACCAAACAGGAACAGACCAGATGAAGCTATTATGAGAAAAAGCAGAGAGAATAATATCAGAGATTGAACTAAGAAATTCTGCAGAATGGTGAAAAGGGGTCCCCATGTCCTCCCGCACTCTAGCAACATATCTATAGAGAAAACTCAGGATAACCTGAGTACCTATAACTTTATTAAAAGGGAAAGTTTTAGTGTAATAGCTGTACGTAGAATCTTCTGTAGCAGTCTGTCTTACCTTCGACGGAAAACTTCGTTGTCTGATGAAGAAAATGCACTCGGTTCTCCATAATGTTCTTCATTATATAAAGAATTATTTATGCAAAAAAAAAAGACAGAGGTTCCTATGTGGCCTTTTTTTTTTTTTTTTTACATAATTTGTTCTGATGCCACTTTACCCTGGCATCAGATGATTGACTGTTCCCACGTTTGGTGCACCCAACAACTGCAGGGTCATCTGAGTATTTTTGTAGATGACAGGACTCAGTTGTGTACTCTCAGTCAAAGGTGTACAGTCTAAACAGGAATATGGAGAGTACCGTCCCCTGTGCTAACTATTTGATCAGACAAGTTATCATTTAGTGTCACAAAGGCTCTTGCCTAAGGATCAACACTGGCAGCTCGTCCCCCTCAGCAGGGATTTGCAACAGGATCTACTGTCTGCAAGTCAGGTGACTCACCACTTGAACTAGCCAGCCGCTGCCAGGTAGTGTTTGAGCCAGGTGATTGTTGAGGCCTCCATCTGAAGGCCTGGTTATACTCCTGCAGCAGTATGTCACAGTGAGCTTGAAGCAGACATTTTCGATTTATGCCCAGTATTGAAGCATGGTCTGTGCTATACGCACTGGGTCTAGATACAGCCAAGCAGTGAGTAAATTGGGGTGAGTTTGTCCGACAACGGAGGGACATGATGGCGAAAAAAAGCGGGGATCCAGGTGGAAAAGGTCCCAGCATTCTCGCATACCTCGCTCTTCAAGCTGGTCCAACTTCACGAGTTTTTTTCCCGCAACTTCAGTCATAAAACCAAAACAAGCCGGCCTCCGGTCTGCGGCACTGTCTAATTTCAGCTACAATTTGGGAGAGGTGCAGCGGAGGGGGCAGGGACGTCTTTTTGTTCATTGCTACATCTACGCAGACAACCTAGTTTTGAAGTATAAATCAACCTCAAGTCCTCTGGAGTTTCTGATAAAAGTAAATCTTGTAGATATCCTCACAGTGCAATCTCCTTGTCTGAATGACAGTAGGTTTGTTCAAGATGATGCATAATGGCATCTTCAACTCTAACTCAATAGAAACTGAAAACATATCCATGTCCAAAATGTCTTTCATATAGAGGTTCCAAAACTTCTAATGTGTGTAGGTAGGAAGTACATTAACTCCTGTAGTGCACTGTGGTTTAACCAGGCATCTAATTTACCAATTAATACAAGTGCTTGATTCTCTACTGGCATATCCCCTACTGGTATCAGAGTCAATTTCAAATGGCAGCCACATCCAGAAAGCAAAATAAAACAAATTAAATAGATGGGAGAATAATTATAACAGCAAAGGCTCAGCAATTGAGAGGTCCAGGAGGGTAAAAGAAGATCCAACTTTGCCTGTTAGCACTGCAACAATTAGACAATGTTTATGAGGCCCAGCTACCAGCTTGAAGCAAAGTCCTGTCGCTCACGTGTGGGGTACCGATGAGGATGGTAGTTCACCGGAGATGGCAGCGGTGCAGATTCCGTTGTCTTTGGGGCTGGGGAACCTGGTCTACAGCATTGTCCTCGTGAAGTGTAGCTGGCAGGGGGTCGGCGGCAGGCCCTCCACCATGTCTGCCTGGTCAGACATGTCTAGAACAGGAGAGCCCCTTGGCTCTGTGGTGGGGCCCCTGTTGGTGTGCCTGACCTACGTCTGCTCTGCTCTTGCTGACTGCTCTGAACAATTTGGCTCCTTGACGGAGGGCGCATGCAGTCCAGTTGGGTGCACAGCACTCTTTTCAGGAGGAGCTCTGCGGGCAACGTTTTAGTGGTACTGTGAGGCGTGTTCCGATAAGTCAGCAGGAAACTGCAGTCGTTGAAGAAGGGAGCCTTGGGACATTGATGTCTTTAGACTGTGCTTTAAGGTTTGTACAAACCTCTCAGCCAGTCCATTGGTAGACGGGTGGTAGGGTGCTGACTTAATGTGTGGAATTTCATTCATTTTGAGGAAAGCCTCCAACTCTTCGGAGACAAACTGGGGCCCGTTGTCACTTACTGGTTGTTCCGGTATTCCGTACCGACTGAACATTTCCTCCAGACGCTCAGTGGTTTTCCTGGTGGTCCTAGACCTCATGATGGCCACATCCGGCCATTAGCTGTGCGCGTCGACCACCACCAACAACATTCTGTCCTCGATTGGTCAAATATTGCACCAAAAACCAGACATTGCAGCTAGAATAGTAATGTACCAAATTAGCAGTGTATTTCTTTAAAGTTATGACTAGTTTAAAGTTATCTTCATTGATTTTCCTTCAAAAATAAGGACATTTCAATATGACCCCAAACTTTTGAACATAGTGTATATAGCAGTTACCATGTTCAATTTTAAATCTGTTTCTGATAAGCTCATTTGAGGGGTAAATATGTAGAGTTTACAAATGTATTTCGTTATATTTTGGTGGGAGATCCAATTTGAAAAACTTTGACATGAAATTTATATGGTCTTTCTTTTCATATTTATCCATAAATTTCCTTCTAACCAGTCCAGGGTATGTCTGTTTTACTAAATGTTGTCTTAAAAACTTATTATTGCATTTTGTGTCTAGTAAGTCTAAACCA